AGCTGTGAAATGCACAGGGTCTGTATGGGCAACACTGTAGGAATGATAATGATAATTGTAATACAGGGTTTCAAGCTTTTGCAGGATAATGTAGATGTTGTCGACCTCGCAGACAACGATGTCAGTAATAATGCCGAAATTGGGCATTAAGTGTGTGCAATCAATAATGATGACTTGTCCTCTTTTGTACTTGTGCCCATCTGCTATTATCCAAGAAACACTATAAGAAACATTATCATTGTAATTGCCTATTATTGTAATTGCCTTTTACCTTGTTATCTCAGCACATTCTTCCTCAATTAAAAAACAAAGTGCATCACGCCATTGTAATGAGGCTACATGTTTTTGTTGGCCTATGTATTATGTATGCATGCATGTAATGATTAAACGAGTGTTTCCAAAACTTGAAATTAATACTTACATGGTCCAACAGAGTTCATGGTATCAAAAAAATTATTCGAAGATAAATTGTAACAGAATGAGTGCTGGTAGTGTTCAGATAGCGTCTTAAGCACATTTTTAAAGCACTTAATTCTGTGAGCCAGATCTTTGAAATAGTTGTGCTTTGCCTCCAGTCTCATACACCAAAGGTGAGATAGTGGTCCACATCTACATGCATAGACAAATCAAAAATAAAGAATAATTTTCTTTAAAACCTTTGGATCCAATCTGGATAATGGACCATATAATGCATTTTCGGTATTAAGTTACACTCAGGGTAGAGCTCTTTAAATGCAGAGTGATGATCTCTTATAAGGATTCTCATATGGTCCAAGCATTCAGTTGAAATAATTGGTGCAAAGAGGTAGTCAACTATCTCCAACAAGGCAAGAAAATGAAGCCAATAAGGGTTGTCTTTTGGAATATGATTGCCAATCATAATAGGCAATAGTCTAGCCAAGCACCACATTTCTGTTGCTATATAACATATGTAAGCATATGGTTAATCACAACTGACATGCATTACCTGTTTGTTTTAAATTATGATCTTTATTTTTTAGAGTTGTAGATGAGATAACAGAAGGCTTATTGGCCTTGTCAGTTATTCCGTATGGAAACTTTGAAATAATTTTTTCCAGCAGAGAGAGACTGATAAACTTGTGACTGATGAAGACTTTCAACATTTCCTTTACAACATATGGGAGACAACCTTCTAGGACGTCGTGCATAATATCTGGTACGAGGCCTTCAGTGATGTGGAAGTAAGTTGACTTGTGGAGAACAGAATCTTCATTGATTCCAAATGACTTTGAAATATGCTCATGTGTAGCACTATTTGTTTTCAGAGCCCTAATATGGTACTCATGGGTAGACCTATTTCTTTCCTTAAATTCATGAGCTAAAAACTAAAAAGAATTTAAGGAATATAATTTAAGCATTAAAATTACACAAACCTTTGATTGCATGTCATCACTAACAGATAAACAATGACGGCATTTACGATGGGCAGATGCTAATGATTTATATCCTCCAATGAATTGGCTCCCCAAATTGTCTCCCTGAAAAACTGATATTGTACCATAAAAATGATGAACACAATCATCCGTTTTAATTGATATTCCATCCTTGAAATATTAGGCAATGAAAATTACAACTTTACAATGTTTTACCTCTTCTAATTTCTTTATTTTGTTCATTATAGGTTGAAGTACCTTATGTGCTCCGTACTTTTGAAGTGTAACAGATTTGGTGACACATAGCAAGTGAATATTAGCCAATGGTGATCGATATTTTGGAGGTATATTTCCAATTGTGAAGTAAAACAAAGCTGTTAGTGACTGAATGTTACACATTACTTACCAGTAATGACCTACCTAGTTTATGCTTTTTTGCCCTAGATCCTAAAGGATTGCATATCTCAACATCATCGTAATATAGTTGAATTTGCAATGCTGTTTTATCAGCAGAGAATAGTGGATGCATTTTGAATAATGACCCATCACAAAAGTCACCTAATAGTCCATCAGCCCTTTCATGACCCTGTAATACCTGAAATATTAATAAATTCAATAAATTTTGACAAACTGCGATTTGATAAACTTACTTTATTTCTCAGGATATCATGTTTTAATAACAACTGCAATGACTTGAGAAAAGGAATGTCATACACTACATCTTGCTTATCAGTTTCTCCTCCCAATTCACGTCTTACAGGTTTCTATACATTACAATGTGAGTTACAAGTAGGGATTGTTTAATATGTAATTAGTAATAGAGGAGATGGAGAACTTACTAAATTGAAATAGTAATTGTAATTGCATGAAATTATTACATGTACCTTGATAACGTCATGCATCAATTTTAACTGAGCTGCTATGCATGACAGCTACATGTTGTGTTAATATCAAAAACACATTGTAAATAATTAAAGTTCACTATCATTCATTGTAACACTAATTATTTACTGCAAGTCGTTGTCACTGGGTTGTGTAGTGTACATGTTCATGTACTATAATACTAATAGTATCTATTTACAATTTAACTGTAATAGCATGTAATAATGTAGTAATAGTATAAGCAAACTGTATTTATAATAATTTACGAAATTTGCTTACTTGATAATCTAGGTATGTTGTAAAGTATGCTTCTTGTTGATAGGCATTTCGAAGACCACCAAATGGGTTTGTTAGATCCTGCTGCTTCAATATATCATTTATAGATGAGAGTTGTTCATTTGTCAACACGCCACCAAGAACATTGTGTAACTTTTGCTCTAAACTGATCAATTTTGATTGTACAAGATCTGTAACTTCGTCTGTTACAGCATTGAGTGCGACCTGAGATAATTTGTACTTTTGTTTTAATTTCATTATGAGTAGTGCTGATTGTAATTGTGGTGGTTTTGTGACTTCAGTGCCAGTACTATCTCCACTGTGACAGTCTTCAAGTTCCGCGGTGTTCTCATCTATAAGTGGGGCTGTCGAATCATCTAGCTGGCTGTCGTGACTCTTACACAAATCTAGTCCACACTCATCTCTGTGACTGCGATAAAGACTGTATGCTTCTTATAAGCATGAAACGTCTTGAATGTCCTTGGACAACTTGTTACTCCACAAACAACATTGAAGTTTGCATCATTAGAATGCACAGATCCAATGTGCCTTAAAATTCCTTTAAATTTGAGAGAAGCAAATCTGTAACAGATTGGACAGAGAAATTTGCTGGACAACTCTTGACTCATTTTCTAGTGGGTGGAAAAGGCACGCGATTGCGCGCCAAATTTGGTATTAAAATTATTTAGTTATTTTTAATTTAACTTCAATCACGTGAATGAGAGATCCGCGCTGGCTGCAGCGATCAAGCATAGATTCTATGGATCAAGGTAGCGGCCAGTAGCAAGACGGTCTCAAGCAAGAGAGATAAGGGTATTCTATAAGAAACTCAAGTAGAAGTATTAAGAAAGTTACTTGTTTATGAAGTAAGTTGTAAAGTTATGGCTAAAAAGTTGCTTATCATCTAATAATGACCATAAAATTTTGCAGCTGCAATTCTTATTCAAGGTAGCGGCCAGTAGCAAGACGGTCTCAAGCAAGAGAGATAAGGGTATTCTATAAGAAACTCAAGTAGAAGTATTAAGAAAGTTACTTGTTTATGAAGTAAGTTGTAAAGTTATGGCTAAAAAGTTGCTTATCATCTAATAATGACCATAAAATTTTGCAGCTGCAATTCTTATTCAAAAAGAAATGTCGACAGCAGGAGCAGCAGTTAATGTGTTAATTACGTACAAAACACAAAAGAAAGTATTGAGTGTTCGCACAGACTTGGGTGCTACTACTTTGCTACTAAAAGACAGATTTGTCTCACAATTTAATGTAAGTTTGGTAATTATGTGACAGTTAGTCTATAGCTAATAATTATGATGTATTTTGTCACTAAATTGTGTGTATGGAAGCCTTGATTAGTGACATGGATCTATAATGTGGATGGGAGGCGGAAAACTCACTATTAATCTAGTTTTATGAAAATGCTTTCTACATGTATAGGTTGACTGTAATGCATCTGTTTCTTTTCAAAGATATGATTCAAGGTTTGATGAGTATGTAGATTTGTCAGAAGATGACACTATTGAAGATTGTGATAAATTAATTGCTATTGTGTCCAATATCAATGATCAGGTAGGTTTTCATATAGCTGTATGTAGACTATAATGTCTTCCTCTCTTTTTACCTCTCTGATTTGTCAACTACAGGAATTAGTATCATCACAGCTGAATTGTGAAACTTTGCCTCAAAAAGAGAATGGATGCAGTTCATTGGACGATCCTACAGAACAGCCTGATGCTTTGGCAATCGCCAAAGAGGTTGTTATTACAAATGACAGTAAATATTATTACAAAAATATATAAATCAAGTATTTTTTATAGACATTCCTTGCTCACTTTTCTCTTTGTTGACACTACCATATATTGTTCCTGATTCAAAGGCCAAGATAACACATACTACGCTTATGCAATTTTTACCTGAGGTATAATTATTTAAATTTTCAAAAATTATTTTATACATAATAGGCATATGAAGATATTCAATATGAAATAGACCAAATTTCTATAAGCACACCATATTTGCTGATAGAGGGTTTTATTAATAATCCTATTCAAGTTTATCTTGTGACAGATCGTTTCCTAATTTGTGATGTTCCTATGAAGTCCTCTCTTTTTTCTTTGATGGCGGCATACTTCGTATACTATATAAAGTATCCATATGGCTTTAATAATTTTTTTTCTTTCCTTGAGGTTATTCTGTTTGGACTGAAACCTGAGAAAGTTACTACAACTGTCAATAACTTACTTTCTCGAATATGCAACAATTAATAACAAGTATCATGCTTCATAGAAGTACCTATATAAAAGAAGAGTAACAATTATATAGACATTATAATTTTTTTTACTTAAGTTTTTTGTCTTTAACTTTACCTTTAGAAATTTTATCTTTTTTTGTATTTTTTTTTAAATGTTTTACAAACACTAAATGAAGTGTGACAAGTACACTAAATGCAATTGTAATACCAACACTATAACTTAGAGTGTGATATGCACACCGAAGAAGGTGTTCATATAGGGACAACGGTAGCACACTTAAATTAGTGTGAACAGCACACTTTGTTTTTTTCAGTGTACATACACACATGGATATGAAACAGGAAGTCGGTATCCAATTAACTCTTTGAAATGAGAATATTATATTTATTAGGTCTACTGAACAAAACAAAAACACCTATATACCTTCTTTCACAAAAATAAGTGAGTCAAGAAAATTCTTGAAAACATAGACAGAGAGAAAAGCGCCAAGGATAGAGCTATGCTGGTTATGACGTTTACAGGTGAACTTCATTTTGTCAACAGGCCTCATGTTTACATGACAAAATTAGAAGACCTCCATTTTTATTTGTAACCACCTTTTCTAGACTCTCGAATGGAGTTAGCTAGTAAGTCTTGGAATCATAATAGTGTATTGTTTGTTACATGGACTGAAACTATTCTCGTGTCAATGTAATGAGAAATGACTGAGATAATAGCCAAAAACTAGTTTTTTTAATATTAATTTTGTAACCACCTTTTTGAGACTTCTGTACCAGGTATGAACAAGTTACTACTTTGAGTGTATTCATTAAGGCCTCTTATATAGACTGTTTATGGTTTCATTTTTCTAGATGCTATGTTTCAAAAGTAATAATATTTTTTTTGCAAGTGTTTCAAAGGGTGTGGTTTAATTTTTAGTGAGAACTGAGTAGTGAAAGAATAGGTTATTTACCAAGAAACACAAGCAGGATTTCAGTGGCATTGATGAGACATTGTTACATGATTGTAAAGCTTCATATTTATGCTACCACAGAGAACTATCAAGATTGAGATGATGTACATTACAGCATAGGCGGCTATAGGCCCGGGCAAGCCAGGGCATTGCACTGGTAGTTTTCAACCAAAACCACACCCAAAAGGTGTGTTTTGTTATTATTAGGAGTGATATCATCACTAGAATTCATTTTTTATAGCCAAAACTGTTTATACTTGCTATCAGCTCCACTTTACAGTTATTTTAGTGTGATAACTGGCTTCTGTGAGCTATCATAAGGACTTTCAGTCATTTTATTAATTGACCACACCCCTAAATCTTATGAATAATTAATGAGCCCTGGTTAATTCAAGATTCTGTAGCCGCCTATGCATTACAGTATGTACCGTATGGTGATACAGTAAGTGCGGCTTATAATAATTGTTGTCAATGTTTTTATTGCTATTTTTATAGTTAAAATTTGTTGAAGGACTCATAATAATAATCAATCTATTGGGTCACTGAAGAATAGAATAATCATCAACAGTTATAATGATAATAATTTAAATAATAATTTTTTTTAGTACTTAGCACAGTGCATTCTTTCTTGTAATAGTAGATCTTCACTTTTTAAAACTAGAATATCGATTGCAACTCTTATATAGTCGTAGACCTGAGCTTTAGTAAGTAATTCAACTGGATTTCTTCACTATTTTGCTTGTGCCATGCTTATACACGTGTAGTGTAAACGTCACAATACATCACTTCCGGTGCCAAGGATCGAGCGCATCCTGTTTCATATCCATGTGTGTATGTAGTATCTATGATTAGAGTGGGTCTCGCTCATGCTCGCCCCAATTAGATGCCTGTCCTCTACTTATTAATTGAACCAAATCCTGTCTGTGCCAATGCTATTTGGCCGAAGCTAAGCCAGGAATCTTTTAATTGAGCCTTCTTGTAGTAGATATAGATCTTGCATCATAGCTAAAAATCTATCTATGAAAAAGATGATTGATGCCTATCAATGGAGAGCAATTTATTAGACTGTGTTAACGGCCATTGTTAAGCTCTCTCTGGCAGTAGGGCAACTAAAGGCAAAGCTGCAGTAGACAACAAGTTGGGTAAGTCTACTATATCAAGAGAGAAGACATCTCTAAACTATCAGTAGCCCTGCCATTGTGTCTGCCTTTTTCCTCCCCCTCTTCTTTTCTGCACACACACCCACAGAGTTATTATATTCTTTCCTGATTTTGTTGCTCCAAAATCAGGGACTTTGCCAAAAATGCCAAGGAGAGAGTCCTTCAATATTATATTTTTTTCTGATACATTATACATGTACTTCTCTTGTGTAGAAAGTTTGACCTGGTTTGGATCACAATTGTTGTTCTAACAATTTTTTAAATGCTCTAATATTGGACCTAAGTCCCTGTAGTAATATAGTTGATCTACATGGTCTTGGGTCAAATATTATGAAAAATTAAAACGAGAGAAACCTTTATTTTTATAAATTTTTTGATACATGTACACGTCCCTGTGTTGTGTTGAAAGTTTGAGCTGAAAATTAATTTTTTTATGAATATTATTTTTTAAGTTGCTCAAAGATTATTTTTTTTAATTTTAAATTTTAGTTTGCCTATTGTGTTGCAATGGAATGCTTTGAATTACTTATCTATCTTGTCCAAGTATATGTTATTTTAATAATTGTGCACTCTCATTACATAATAGTTATAGCACAGTAAAGAGTGCTGTATGGCTGATAATGGCACGAGGGGTAGAGTCGAGACAGCCAATCATAGTAGGCCGCCATGTTTTACAGTACAACGAGATCCAGTGATCAAGCAAACAAGGATTCAGCAGGTCATTCGAGCTAATAGAGACTTCATAATACTTACTTCAACTCAGGAAAGTAGTAACCTGACCAAGAACCCAAAACTTTGAGAAACAAGGCCACTAGAGGCTACGCTAGAGCGAAAAGAGCATAGGCATACTGCTCGTGACGTCACAAATATAATTTCATGTACAATCCACTTCCTGTTTCGCATCCACTTGGTATATATAGTATCTGGTTGTCCCTAAAAAGCGGACCGGACCGGACCAACGGACCCGAAAAAACTAATTTACGGACCGAGCGACGGACCCGATACAAACTAATTTATGGACCCGACCAAGGGACCCGAAAAGACTAAAGTACGGACCCCGCGTTAATGACCACGGACCTGACCGACCTAGCAGCATAGATATCTATGCTAGCATCAGTATCTATGATCTTGCAAACTCTATGATGGCCTAGACAACATACAGAACTTCCGTGAAAAAAAATGATTTTTATCTATGGTGATAGTGATGCTATCAGTTGAGTCATAATACAATCAATGAGGCCGTAGTTCATTGTATTGATCACTGATGTCTGTAATATTCAACTTGAGTTAGTAGTTTGTTATATTCATGCATCAGCAATTATTTATTTATTTAAAATTTTACAGTGATTGGCAATGAGAATGAGAACGGTTAAGAAGCTAGATAAAA